GGAAGTATCTAGGCAACGTTTCGATGAAGTCTCATTCATCATCTTCAAGCTTCTGTCTTCAGCTCTGTGCTTCTCAGAGTGATGTCACTCTGAGAAGCACAGAGCTGAAGACAGAAGCCTGAAGATGATGAATGAGACTTCATCGAAACGTTGCCTAGATACTTCCAATCTTACGCGGGAGAAAACCCGAATAACCAAAGATCCACATACAAATACCCGCGAGAACCTCAGAAAACAAGATTATGTAAGGACTATAATATTAAATTTTATTTTGATGCAATGATTAAACAAAGCCAGCTAGGTGCCTTTTGGTTCAGTCACTCTTTTGCAACCTTATAGGAGGCAAGGTCAAACCCTTTTTGAAAAATCTTGCCAAGAAAACTGCAGGGACTACTACTCCGTGCAATCATCAGGCGTCAAAAACTGTCTTGAAGGCACAAAAGCAAAATAGGTTTTGAGACAAAAATTGGGAGAGCACAGAAAATAACTCATATCTCTAGGTACCTGACTGGCTGACTAGGATAATGCATATGAATATGTTGTCCCAGCATCACCTGCGACTGATCCTGCAAATTTTCTACCTGGTCTGGATCCTTCAGTCCTCTTGTTTCTTAAAAGAAAAAGAAAAGAAAAATTGAAATTGAAGCAGTGCTACTTTGATAGGCCTGAGATAGTTATATAAAAATGTTTCTCATTAGTTTAGGTTCTATTTTCTAAATTTTGGAATGCTGGCTGAATAGATACACGTGCACAAATGTGATCACACATACACTGTGTGTGTGTGTGTGCGTTATGCAGAATCGATCGAATTTTCAAATAAGAGATTAGGCAGAGCAAGAAAAGTACGGTAATCTAGACAAAGCCACGAAATAAAAATGAAGGAAAACAACAGCCTAATCATAGTTGTAAATGGTGTAATCTAGACTGTAAAATTGCAGATTTGTATTTTGGTTCTCTTCACATTTTTTTTTTAAACTTTGCCTGTAACCCAGATGTGCTTTTCCCTCCACTCCCCCCCTCGCTGCCACTGGGGTTCACCTGGTTTAAAAAGGACAATTGCCTTCATGCAGGCAAATTCAGTGGGATCCACAGCCAGTGTTTTGAAGCGTGCGATTATTTCTTGCAGCGCACAGATGTCCGTTCCTCCGGACACCGCCTTGGCGTGGAAAGTGGAGGTCAGCTCTGACAAAGAGAGGAGGGGGCAGGTTTCCAGAGGCAAAGACCACTGGATGGCACAAAGCAGGAACAATTCACTCCAAGCTTCTTCCAGCAAAATCACCTGCAAGCGACAGGACATGGAGTTGAGACCTTAAAAATCTTTGGGACAGGTCTGCTGCAGTCATTCCTGTTCCTGAATAAACCTTGTAAGTAGTTCAGCCAAAACATCCAGATTTCCCCCCTCCCTTTATAATCCTCCTGTTGGCGTTTCATTTATAAAACAATAGTCCCAACTGTGAGCAGTTTTCACCAAACCCATAACTTTTATCTCCCCTGATCCTTACGTGTGTCGGGCCCAAAACTGACATGTGGTGAGTCTTTTCAAGCTGAGTTCTTTCCCATTTCATGCCTATAGACAAAATCTTTCCAGTCTGAAACCTCTGATACCTGCATCTACGATGTACTCGGAACTATTAAGGAGGAGCTGTCTTCACCCTCTTTCACTGAGCTGCCTCTTCTTTTCCCTCCTGGGAATCTGCTTCCTACTACTTTGCATCCACCTCCTCACTGCGTTCCATCACATATACCAGCCACACCTGCAAGATTCCTTTAAGATTCCCCGCATTGGTTTCTATTGATCTGTTTCCAGTTAATCTCTTTAAAACAGAGGTCTCCAAACTTGGCAACTTTTAAGACTTGTGGACTTCAACTCCCACAAGGCTGGAGAATTCTAGGAGTTGAAGTCCACAAGTCTTAAAGTTGCCAAGTTTGGGCACCCTTGCTTTAAACAAACCATTCTATTTAAGCACCATAAGCTCTAAATCCAACCTGTATATATATATATAAAACAATTCCAAGCATAAAGACCATTGTATTAATTCCGTCTCAGAAACCAGCATTTCTTGAAGACTTTGCTTTCTCACCCGGTTCAACTCCAAAACTACGTCGCCTTGGCTAAAGCTGTTGATTTCCACAGGAGGCTCACCTGATCACGAAAAGGTAGGTTTGAGAAAACAGGAAGGTTTTTTGCCCATTTCACAGCCATGAAGAGGAGCCGGGCAGAGATCTCATAAACACTTTCGGGGCCAGCGGCTGTGTGTGGGGACTGGGGACCTTCTTGTCCCACGTGTTCTGGCTCATTACTGGTCACGTCGATGTTTTCCTCTGCTGTGAAGGAAAACAGCCCTTCAGTATCATCTGCGGCAGTTAGTGGGACTTGCAAGCAGTTGTGGCGTGATTAAGAAAAATCGTAGAAAACTTTATTGGCCAAGTGTGATTGGACACACAAGGAATTTGTCTTGGTGCAAATACTCTCAGTATCCATAAAGAAAAGGTACATTCGTTAAGAATCAAGAATCATCAGGTACAACACTTAATGATAGTCATAGGGTACAATCAACAATCAAATCATACTAGGAAACAGTCAATATAAATCGTAAGGATACAAGCAACAAAGTTACAGTCCTACAATCACAAGTGGGAGGGGATGGGTGATAAGGAGTGATGAGAAGATTAACAGTAATAGTTGTGTACACTTTGTCAATAGTTGAACAGTGTTGAGGGAATTATTTGTTTAGCAGAATGATGGCTTTCAGGAAAAAATCTGTCCTTGTGTCTGTTATAACAACTGTTATTGTGAAGAAGTTGAAGCAGAACTGTCACTATTTAAGCCCCAAGTATTTTTACATCGCCATGATGTAAAAAAAAAACAAAAAAACAAGACCCTGGAAAGGGTGCAGAGAAGAGCAACAAAGATTAGAGGACTGGAGGCTAAGACGTATGAAGAACGGTTGCAGGAACTGGGTATGTCTAGTCTAAAGAAAAGAAGAACCAGGGGCAGGTTCTGCCCAGTTTTAAAGAACCAGTAGCTCTGAAGAGCAGCAGACACCAAACTGGTTCTGTGTCTGCTGCTGTTTGGCCCACCCGCCTGCTCTTACTTGTCCTTTATTTCCTGCTTTTTCAACCTCAACTGCTTTGCGTGGCACAGCTGAGGTTGAAAAAGCGTGGAAAGAGGCTTTTCAAACACCGCGCACCCATGCGCAGTGCTTATCAGCTGTCCAGGCGGCACAGCTTAAGGTTTTTTTTACACATGTGCACAAAACATCACCGAACCGGTAGTAACACCGGTTGAATCCCACTCGTGACTAGGGGAGACAGGATAGCAGTGTTCCCATATCTCAGGGGCTGCCCCAAAGAAGAGGGAGTCAAGCTATTCTCCAAAGCACCTGAAGGCAGGACAAGAAGCAATGGGTGGAAACTAATCAAGGAGAGAAGCAACTTAGAACTAAGGAGAAATTCCCTGACAGAACAATTAATCCGTGGAACAACATACCTCCAGAAGTTGTGAATGCTCCAACACGGAGTTTTTAAAAAGATGTTGGATAACCATTTGTCTGAAATGGTACAGAGTTTCCTGCCTAGGAAGGGGTTGGACTAGAAGACCTCCAAGGTCCCTTCCAACTCTGTTATTCTATCTCTTGATGTGATGTTTCCTGTAGTGACCATTGTATTGGCTACGCCAGCATCCCTTTTGCTATCCCACATAAATACCACATATTGTGGTATGTAGGGACAGGACATAAGCCAAAGATCCTTTTGCTCGACACTCAAAATGAATTTCCGACTTCATTTAAACTTGAGAGACACCCTCAACACTAAAGTATGAAACAAAAGAATTGCCTAATGTGGCAATTAACCAATATTTTGCTTGGGGCCAGTTCTAAATCTGAGCCCAAGTCAGAATTCCTGATTCAGATATTGTCCCTACAGCAATGACAAAGGCAGCGCCTTCTTGTCATACAAGATTTTATTATTTATATGCTGCCCAGAGTCACTGGTTTGAGATGGGTGGCTCTACAAATTGAATAAATAAACAAGGATCAAAGAAACAACTACAAAGACATCATTCAATTATCTTTATACTGATTTGGAGAAAAACTGTGATCTTGGAAACTAAGAGGAATTGTTTTCCACACGTGTTTATCGTGAAATCCTTCCTCTGGATCAGGGGTCTTCAAACTTGACAGCTTTAAGACTTGTGGACTTCAACTCCCAGAATTCCTCCTCCAGTCATGTTAGCTCAGGAATCCTGGGAGTTGAAGTCCACAAGTCTTAAACTTGTCGAGTTTGAAGACCCTTGATTTATAAGCTTGTTTGGGCTGGATGAAGGAGATCACTCAAGTCCTCCTGGGTTGAATGGAGATTTGAATCTGGGCCTCCTGTATCTTAGTCCAAGTCAGGGTCTTCAGACTTGTCAGCTTGAAGACTTATAGACTTCAACTCCCAGAATTCCTCCTCTAGTCAGGTTAGCTCAGGAATCCTGGGAGTTGAAGTCCCCAAGTCTTAAACTTGTCGAGTTTGAAGAGCCTTGCTCTGGATGCTTTGAAGGGCTTTCCCAAAGCTTTCTCCCCACCTGAGCGGAGTTTCTGTTTGTGAGAGAAGCTGCCGATGGACTCTCCTTCAATCTCTTGATTGCCCTTCCTTCCATCCCTTCTCCAGGCTCCCCACAATCTCTCTTGCTTGTCAAGAACACAAGACTGGAAGCAAAAACAAGTCTAGAAAGGGCTGAGCTCTTCTCCGAATTCATCCTAAATCTTAATTTAATCTTAATTTAAATCTTAATGCGTGCATAAGAGCACCAATCGTGCCTACCGTCCCTGTCCTATTGTTTCTTTTTATTTTTCTTATAAGTATCTATCTCATGTATTCAAAACTATGTTCATTCTTAGACCTGTATCTTGTAAGCGATTGACAAATCAAATCAATACTAAATACTGAAGCTTCCCTCTGAGAGCTAGGACTGCACCACCAGGGGGCCCTGTTGTTTGCAGATCTTGAATTCTGCGGTTCCCCCTCCCCTTGTTAAGAGTCCCTCCAGGCAGACCACTCCCCTTGTCCCCCCCCCCGTCTCAACCACGGGCCACCTACCATCCTCTGGCTCCAGCTTGGCACAGGTTTCCGCCGTCATCAGGCTGGCCATGAAACGGTGGTTGTTGGGAGGAGTCAGCGCTTGGGCCCGCAACACCCCACTTACAGAGCAACCGGGGGGAGCCCTGTGGCTCTGCAGGGAAGGGTGGGGTGAGGGGAGAGCTCCCTGGGTGGCGGCCACATGTTCTGGCTGCTGTTCCGCATGCAGGTCCGTGGCGTCGAGGTGCACGTGAGCCGTGCTGCGGGGCTGGCGTTCGTTCTGAACCGCTGGAAACGGAGGAAGGTCAAGATAAGCAGCCAAGTGGGCAGGGGAAGTTTCGCTTCCTCCTCCTGAGCATGTTCACCTAACACTAGGGTCGGCAGCCTTAAACACTCAAAGAGCCACAAAGGTCCTACCTGGAAGCCCCCCCACCCCCACCTGTTCATTTCTGGAACCAACCAGACTCTATGGCAGTTCCACTACTGCCATAGAGTCTCCTCCTAGCGTGGCATCCTTTTTCCTCTACCAAAAGCCCTATCAATTGTGGAGCCGACCGGCAACAGGGAGCCGCAGCAGAGGGATGAAAGAGCCACATGCGGCTCCAGAGCCACAGGTTGCCAACCCCTGCCCTAACAGAAGCGATTGGGCTGATTGGGTCACCTTTGGCTTCAGTCCCTTAGGCTAGTGTCTTCAAAAACCACAGGTGGCCCAAGATCTGTGATGGGTCTCCAACTCCTAGTCTATTATTACCTTTATTGTCTGAGTACAATATGTGTACAATGAGATTGGCTGAGTCCCCCTTCGTGCACACACACCCTCCCCAACACAACTCACAGTGAAAACAGAGGTCCCTAACCCAGTCCCAATCTTATTACACTATGTGACCTTGTTGCACAATGCGCAGGCCCCGCAAGTCTATTCTACTATGTTGACATGAAATTATTTTCCATTCAGAAGTCTGACAGCCCACAGGTAGAAACTGTTCTTCAGCCAGTTGGTGTGACTGGCTATGTTTCCCTATCTCCAACCCGATGGTAGGAGAGTGAAGAAGTGCTGATCGCGGTGTCAGTCGTCCCTGAGGACTTTCCTCGCTCTTCTAAGGCAGCGAGTCCTAGCGAGGTCATCGAGTGGTATCAGGGAACAGCCCACAATGTTTTGTATTGCCTAATCTAGATCCTTCACCACTATTCCACCTTGACTGTTGGGCTAAAAGAGACAGAATTCCAGATCCAAAGTCTCCCAGAACAGGAGTCTCCAACCTTAGCAACTTTAAACCTGAAGGACTTCAACTCCTAGAATTTGCTTTGCTGGCTGGGGAATTCTGGGAGTTGAAGTCCTCCAGGCTTAAAGTTGTCAAGATTGGAGACCTCTGCCCCAGAGAATTCTCGTGGCTGGGTAGAGACTAGAACCTGCGTCTTTGCCCTCCTAATCCGAACCCACTGCTGTTCTTGGGAGTGACTCCAAATTCTGGCCCTTCCTTAGTCATGGAAACCAGATGGAGGACTTTTGGCTGGTCGCTCTCAGCTCAAGCCAACTCACAAGGTTGGCATTGTGGGAAAAACAGGAAGAAGGAAGCATTACATTCACAGCCTTGAGATGTACAAAATAAAGTGGGATATAAATATATAATTAATGTCTTCACCGCCCTTGCTTATCAATGGAGACCGAATGGAGCAAATGGACAGTTTTAAGTTTCTGGGTGTTACCCTAAAAGAGGACCTGACCTGGGGTGCTCACATTGCAGCCCTGGTCAAAAGGGCCCAGCAGAGATTATACTACCTGAGACTTCTCAGAAAACAACAACTGAATGAAAAACTGCTGGTGACCTTCTACCGCTGCACCATAGAGAGTATCTTAACTTACTGCACCTCTGTATGGTTTGCCAATTGCACAGTGGCAGATAGGACAGTACTCCAGAGGGTTAATGTCATTGCCCAGAAGATCATTGGTTGCCCTCTCCCCTCTTTGGAAGAGCTTTATAGCTCCTGTTGCCTTAAGAAAGTTCAAAACATCCTCAAAGATCCATCTCATCCTGGGCATCCTTTTTTTGAACTATTACCATCTGGCAGACAGTACAGGATAATAAAAACAAGGACAAATAGGCTGAAAAACAGCTTCTATCCCAGGGCAGTAGCTCTGTTGAATTCTACTGTATGGTGCAATATTAAGGCAATATCAGGGGTTTTCAATTCAATGTGTGGAGTGTGAAGGATGTGTGTCTCATGGTCATGATGTGCACTGAAGATGGTGTTTGATTTCATTGTAGGAGGTGCAATAACAATAAAGTAAACTAAATAAACTAAATCTACAAGGCAGCAGGTGGAGAAGGTTTGCCTGTAAGATCAGCTTGCCAAAGACTTATCCTATCCAGTTTACAGCTCAACCGAGAATTGGCCCTTTTCCCCCAGGTGAATGTTTCCCCCCACATTTACCATCTTTATTCATGCCCGCCTGGAGACATTTCTTCAAGCGACAAGCTTGGCACTGGTTTCGGTGCGCTTTGTCCACAGGGCACATTCCACTGCCAACCTGGCACCTGTCAAGAGGACAAGATAAGATTCTATTAGATGCACCTGCCAGGGATTCTAGATTTTGGGGACGATGGTGTTCTGCACTATGGAAAACAAACATCTGCTCCAAGGAAAATAAAAACTGAAAGAAAATCTAGACCCAGAGCTACAGAAAGGCTAAAACCTGTGATTTCCCTAAAAGTTGCTGTCACAGAATAACTAAATGTTTCTAGAATCGCTTAGTCTACATCAACTGCACGAGTCAACAAAGGGCTGTGAAAATATCTACAGACCCCTCACATCCCGGGCATAAATTGTTTCAACTCCTTCCCTCAAAATGACGCTATAGAGCCCTGCACACAAGAACAACTAGACACAAGGACAGTTTTTTCCTGAACCCCATCACTCTGCTAAACAAATAATTCCCTCAACACTGTCCAACTATTTACAAAATCTTCACCTCACTCCTTATCACCCATCCCCTCCCACTTGTGACTGTATGACTGTGACTTTGTCGCTTGTATCCTTATGATTTATATTGACTGTTTCCTAGTATGATCTCATAGCTTATTATACCCTCTGACTATCATTCAGTGTTGTACCTGATGATTCTTGACTTTTGATGAATGTATCTTTTCTTTTATGGATACTGAGAGTATTTGCACCAAGACAAATTCCTTGTGTGTCCAATCACACTTGACCAATAAAGAATTCTATTCTATTCTATTCTATTCTATTCTATTCTATTCTATTCTAT